CAAAGAACGCCGACGTCCACGGATTTCTTTACAATTTTTTTTTTTTTGTTCGCCGAAATTCAAGCGGCTAAAAAAAAAAATTGAGAAATCGAAACCAGACGAAGACGGTTGAGTTCGGATTGTTGTAAAATCAACGCGGAAACTGCGAAAGACTGTCTCGTTGGGAATTTTCGGTTAAACTCGGGCGGAAAGAACGCGACGGAAAAGAGTTCATTGTCGCGGAGGGTTTCAAACAATGCTCGATACAATGGGTGCACAATCGTCGATTGTGCCACGCAGTATTTCTTTCGTACTTTCCATTTTCCCATGGCGACAATGACGCTCTAACGAATCTCCGATCGATTTTACTCAGGAGCAACGAACGTTTGCAAGAACAATTTTTTGTTGACACGTGACCGTTTCAAGCCTGTTCGAAGAATGCGAAATAACGTTCTCAAAGGAAGCCTTTCGCGACGATTTCACGAAAACGTCGGTCCCACTTTCTATTTTTCCAACCCTTCTTTGTTAGCTGGTGCAATATTCCTCGCGTCATTTATTCTACACGACCTCTTTTCTTGTACGTAGATCGATTATTTTTTGTATCATCGCTTCAATTTTCCTTTCGACTTCGACCCGTTGAAATTCGTAGCCCGTTCGAATTTTTTTTTCTCCTTCGGAACGCCTAACGTCTGCGATCCGTAAAAATCATCTCCGCGGGTGTCTGGGGTTTCAAAGGGCCGAAAAGGGATTTACAGGTGTGACCCTTCGCGCAGACGTGGCCCGTGCAAGGGACTCTCGCAGGCTTATTCGGTTTCCGGCACTTCAAACCGATACAAAGTGCATGCAAATTTTCTAAAGGAGACGTCTACCGTTTTATTTCGCCTCGTTTGTCCGAGTCGATCGCCGCGTTCACCGGGCACAGACGGGGTTTTGTGCGCCACGGGTCGAATATTAAATTCGAAACGCGTTAAATTCGAATTTTACCGGCTCCCATAAGCGAGCCGCGCGTCACCCTTTCCAGTTTCCATTTTAAAAGATCCTGGGATCTCGTTAACACGTTCGCTGCCCTACTAAAACACCTGAAGCTGTCGAAGGTCAGGTAATTTAACATTTGTAGTAGAATTTAATTTGTTCACCTTGTCAAATTCACAAATCTCATCGAAATTTATTTTCATTGTCGTCTTACCTTTGGAACTCATTTTTTTTGTTTCCTTTATGAAAAGTCCTGTCGCTCATTTTTGGGTGCCGTGAATTAAGGGGACACTACGAGGTTCACAATGTCTCGAGATTGGGGCGTACTGTTCCAAGAAATAACTGAAAAAAAAACACATTTTTAAATCGGGTCCGATTTTATCGAGGGAAGGAAACTTAGAAACGGAGAAGATAGGGGCTCAAGAGTGGACTCCGAGAGTCTCATCCAAGGAACCTAACGTCGTACGCTTCGACCTCTATCACAGAACTATTATCGAAAATGGCTGAGATCTGAAAAGAAGGAACAGTTCTCCTTCAGTTCTTTTTCAGTTCTTCAACGCCTCGAAGATGCTTAGAATTAGCGTTGCACGCGAAAAAGAGACCCTGTTTCCCAACAAAGGGTAAAATGGGGGAGGGGAGGGTATTTAGCAACGGATGCGCAAAGTGGAAGAGAGGAAGCCGCCGCGGCGAAGGTGGAGATGAAGAAAACGAGGGAGCCGCGAACAGGAACAGAAAGAAGAAAGGAAAGGGGAACCACCGCCGGGACGGGCGTGTTAGCTGCTCGCGCATTGGTGCACCGGTGTGTACGATGTGTGCAGAGTCGCCATGTTGAATATCCCCACTTCCGTTCCACGTGTCGTACACCTACACGCGTGTTGGAAACGCGATACCGGTCGCAACATCTTCGGTAGGGCGAGAAATCGGACTTCGGCCGCCATAGGGGCTGCTCTTGTTCGCCAGGGGGGTGTGGAGTGGGCTCGCGGCACGCCAAAACGCGAAAAAATACTGCCTTAAAGGGTCGATTCTTTTACGAGTCAGGTTGTCTTCTCGAGATGGCGGAGTCATCCTCCAATAACTTTGAGACGACGATGGACTTGTTATGGAGCACGTTAGCGACGTGTCGATTGTATTGTACTTTGAGGCCTTCTTCAGACGATAATGGACCTAATTTAGCGTTCAGCTCGCGTATATACAAATTGAAAGTAGCATTTTGTTTGATCAAACTCTGACAAGACTCCGAAATGAATCGTGTAAATATGCATAGCCGAAGCGTCGAGTAGATTGTGTAATAATATAAAACGCGAGGCACTTAAACCCGAAAACAGACAGAACAGGATTATAAAACTCGAAAAACTCACGCCAGTTAAGAATCGCTGGTATCTCGCATATCTAGTCGCCGATAGTCTAGTATTAGCGATGACTGCGTGTTCCTTGACAATTTTTTATATATCCATATAATAAAGATAATTGGATCGTATATCTATGGTCGTGACAGGACAAGAGGCTGGGGATCGTTGGCGTTGCTGAAGGAATGGTTTGCAATGGTCGTTCGAGAAGCAGTCTTGTTTGCCTTGGAGTCGTTAGGGTTACGAAGAAATTAGCGTAACTCCCTGAAGCATATCGCTAATCGTAAGAATTATTTTCATCGAACTGACCTTGCTCTCTGACAAAAAAAAAAAATGATTATTACCCACGTTTCTTTGTTTGATTTAAATTCACACGAGTAGACAACCTTGCTTGTTTTTTCTAATATCACGAGATCCAAGGATCGATAAGAATTCTGAACTAAAAATGGCGCGTCGAGTTTGGCGCTCGTCTCGCGAGACCATCCAGCGATTAGCTTCCATCAGGAGTCAGGAAACGACGCGCAGCTCGAGTTCTAACGCGACCAGACCGTGCCGCGACAATCGTGAACACTTATTCGCGTAAAAAAAAAACTAATCAAACGGCAACCCCGAGCCGGAATTTCTACGTCAACGTCAGGACAAGAAGACACGTCGATTCCGCGAATAATTCACCGCAGCCATCAATTATCGAACTTTGCTTTTTTTCCAGCCTCCAGCTTTCCCAACTGACGCGTATGCATACAATCTTAAGCGAACTTTCTACTATTAGTGAATCGTCGTTATCGAAACAAGACTCTCGCAGAAATTACGGAATTCGTAGCGAGTTTGGAATTTTTCCGCGAGCCAACTTCACAAATCGATCGACCCAACTTGATTCTCTGAGGGTGTAATCAGTCGACGGATACTTAGCTACCGCTAAACGCTCCGTCCAAGTACCTGCAGCGATCCTTTCCCAGTTCGCCGATTTTTCGCAAGTCACTTTCATACTTATCCCTATCAAACTCGTTCAGGTGCGACGTTGCGCAAACGATCGCGCAACTATCGTTCTCCAGGGTTTCGACACTAGCTAGGCACGGCTTAAACACAGACGTTAAATCGGTGTACATCGGCTCGTATTCGCTGGATTTTCTCTACCGGGGTCGAAGAAAGTGTCACAGCTTAATGGTCAGCTTAATCGCGCACTTACGTCGATCGGAGCTGTTGTGGCAATTGTGACTTAGCGTGACTAGATGGAGATCGATCGGAGTCTCGAGGATCTTGCGACCTCTGTGAGATTAGTTGCAAAATCTTGAATCCCAGTTTCGAGATCTCTAGGTTTCCTCTCTGAAAGAATTTGGAGACTATCGTGGGATAAGCCGAATTAGCTATTCGATTTCGGTGGCTGGAAGGTTGCAGGAATAGAGACGGCTAAGAAAATGTGCTCTCGTAATCAGTTGAGGCGCCGTCTGCAAAGGATATATCGCTTGACCAGTCACCTAAACAAAATTGCAGCCTGTCTAGCGATTGACAGAGCCACGTATAAGGCAGGATCTGCTAGATAAGTTTCAATTTTCAACTGTTTTAGTCGATTAGACTCACTTCCCCGCCGGCTAAGACCGTCCTATTTAATTTCCACTCGAGTGCTGTCTCATCGGGCCTTGGCGTTCTTTCGTGACAAAGACGGACACGTTTCGATTAATAGAAGTATCCTTCGTTCATGTTCTCTCATTGCCAATGAAATCTATCTACGTCAACAGTTTATACTTTATTACCTCCTCGAGAAGACTGCTCCATTTTATGAATTTTACTCCGTTCCAAAATTACGAACACGGAGTATCTCTTGGATTCGTCCATAAATCGATGCACTCGTATTAAGTAACATCGCGTAGAATTTCTTGAACGACCTGCGTGAGTTTGGGAATTTTCTGCGATCCAGCAACAAGGGTGTGACCAGCTGACGAAGACCTAGCTACCATCAATTTCTGACGAAGAGTGTCTGTATTTATCATCCCAATCGATGAAATCGAGCAACAGAGAGTCGATCAACGGATAGAACGGTCCAGCGACGACGGAACGACGGAAACGAATCCGTCGTGCGCGCTTCGAAACGTATTTTACGAAGGAGGCTCTGATTCACTGGGCTCGGAACGTGTTTAACAACGTTACAGGCTCTTCTGACCTCCTCGCAGTGGTTCTCCTCGTCCCCACCCTCGGGAACTTTTATCCCTCTGGAGAATACACAAAGTCGCGGAGGGAAACATCACGAACGGACACTGTACCCACCCCGTCCGCCTCTGGGCAAAAGAAAGCGACGCGGAGACGAAGAAACTCGCCGCGAAGTGTCGTCGCGCGACCGCGGAACGAAGAGAGAGCGCCCGTTGGTAGGGATAGCCGTCGGTGTGGCGGGGGTTGGGGGTCCAGACGTATTAATTAAACGACTCATTTTCATCGCACGACAAAAACGTGAGTTTAACGCCCATCGCCGACTAATGCGTCGCCCCACTGCAGCGCGAACGGTTACCTCGTGGAATCGAAGCGGAGAGGTCGGCTCCGATCCGCGGCAGTTTCTACCTCGAAGAACCGTCCAATAGCGTCAAGGTTGGTGCACGCCTAGCATCCTCGTTTGAAACGCTGCGGACCGCCTACTCGGAGTCGATTTTTGCCCCCTCCGTCGTCGAATGTTGCGCCAGGAGGGGATGGAAGCCAACTCCGGAACACCCCCACTACCGTCCAAGAGCGCCTCGTTTAGCCTGTAATTTGCTCAAACACCAGCAAGCTCTCGTGCCAGAAACATCCGTCAGAGCCGCGGAGCTCTGGCTTGTCGGAGTCTCGAGTACGCGCCAAACGGTCCTTGGGCTCCAGTTTCCGTCACGTTTTTCGTTTACCTTTTTTTTTTTCAATCTCGAGGAGCCTCTGCGTATTCGAGCAATCGCGTGACGCGCGGTGAACCTCGATGGAGAGACGCGGTCGCGCGGTGCCAGTGAGTGACGCGAGAATCGGCTGACTGTGTCGCGGTATCGCGTGGGTGACGACATCACCACGACGCTCGGGGATCATCGTGGACTTGGTGATCCCTAGGTGACAATTCCGCGCGAGCGAGGTGAACGATGAGTAGCGGTGATCGTAGTGCTGGGAACCGACTAGTGATCCAGAGATACGCGGCGAGATCGTTGGACATGGTGCTCTATCAGTAATCTCGAGAGGAGAGAAAGCTGATACGAGAATACGACACGACCGTGACGGTATCCGAGACCAGGAGTTATCAGTGTGTTCGAGAGTGAGTTCCGAGTGTTCGCGGGAGATAACCTCGGCGCGTCGAGGTCGGCCAGGCTACAGAGGTCTCGGTCCGTCGAAGTAGGCCTGCGTCTAGGTGGTCGCAGGGATGCGGCGGACTTGACTCGAGCCAACTGCGACAAGTCCGGTCCGTCCTGCCCAATTGGGAGAATCCGTGAGCCAAGCGTACGATAATCGTACGATGATGCCGCTCGCGCCGACGCCAATCGTTCCGGTGCCCTCGAAGCCGAAGATCGGCTTCAGCATCGACTCGATCGTCGGCGGCGGTGGACAGGGTCGCGAGGACCGATTGGACCGGCTGGAACGCGTCGAGATCGAGAGGGACGATGGGAGCCCGATGGACGTGGAAGGGTCCTCGTCGCCACGGAGTCGTCGGGTCACCGCGAGATCGCCGGGTGCTCATTCGGAGGGCTCCGACCGGCCCGTGTCGCGGAGCTCCTCCGTCGAGTCGTACCCCAACTCGCGGAGGACCCCCTCGCACCCTGGGAGCCTGCATCACCATCACGCGAACCATCACGGCCATCATCATCACCTGTCCGCCGCGACGCACTTGGACTTTGGTCGGACGACCGTCCACAGCCACAGCGGCGGGTCCACTCCCAACAACAGCCCGAGTCCGCCTCACAGGATATCCCACGGCGACTCTCCCGTCGGTGCCCATCCCCAGCCGCCGCCAGGAGTCGTCAGACCGAGTCCCAACTATCTAGCGCCGCCACCAGGTGCGGCCACCGCGGCCGCAGTCGCCGCCGAACAGTTGAAGTCCCTCTATGGGCTGCCTGGACACGGGCCCACCGGGCCCCAAACGGGCCAAAACGAGTATCACACCCAACAGTTGGCCCTGGCTGCGAATTTGGCCGCGGCCCAGCACTTCCAAGCGGCGAACCTCGCCGTGGCCCTTCAGGCGCACCACGGAGCGTCGCCGCATGGCCCGCCGCACGGACCCTATCCTCACGGCGGTGCAGCTCCAGGTGGACCTCATCCTCCGCCTCATCCTCATCAACCACCCAGAGACAGTTACCCGCTCTACCCATGGCTGCTCTCCAGGCACGGACGGATCTTCCCTCACAGATTTCCCGGAGGTACGTACCCGTTTTGTCTTAGAATCTAGGGGTCGAATGATTTGGGTCGAACGATTTGGGTCGCCCTGTGGGGAATCGATCGTATCTCTTCAGGGATCTGTGTTTCTCAGCGTCGTTAGGACGATGGATGAAAGCGTCCTCCGAGCGAGAGATTTTCACCGGGCGATTTAGGTACATGGGTGGAACAAAGTCTGTTGAACGAGTCGTCGCGAAAGGAGTATGAGAGATAAGGAGGCTTTGATAACGCGCGATGGGTGATTTAAGGTAGCCACTCGCGGTTGATACTATTGGGCGTTGAGTCGGAATGCGTTCGGTATCCTCGAGGCGGTAGGAGTAGTACGCTGGAATGTTACCTTAGTGTTTTGTTTACTCTAGTATTGTATATTGCTCAGAAGTTGGCGAGGCATCTACGAACTGAAGAGGAGGGAAGCAAGGGGATTACGCCGTGCGTAGTCCACATAAATAATCGTACCTTCTATGTCTATCGAAAAAGCTTGACTAAATTAAATAATAGTTTTAATATTACCAAGTGAATTTTTGATTAGAAATATGTATACGAATAAGCTTACAGATAGATGTACTTATATATATATATATATATATATATATATATATATATATATATATGTATATAAGTAAATTGTTAAGAAATAAATGTTTTTAAATTATAGAGCATGGAGCTCAAATATTTTCCCAGACGCATCGGACCCTTATATTTATATATACATCAACGTATTTATACAAACATACGCTTGGAAATATCGAACCTACCATTTAATTTAAACAAATTTCATCGATAGACATTGTGAGGTACGAATATTTATGGGACCGACTGTGTATCTACATCAATAGTTACTATTGATCTCTCGGTTTATCTCGATACGTTTCGTTAGCCGTCTTCGTTACGCGATAGCTTTGTAGGTGTAACGGATTCAGCCAATAACGAAAATTCGTGCGAGTAAAGGTATCGCCCTAGCCAATCCAACTGTCTCACCAACTTCTGAGCAACGAACTGTACTATTCTAGCAGCTCGACACAACTCGCGAGGGATGAAACAGACGATGGAGTTGCTTATCTTAAACAGTGAAGACGCTACACCGTAGAAAATATTCTTTCCAGCCATTACATCTCTCAGCTATTACGTCGCTTCCGAATATTATCGGTCCGATGACACCGATCGCCGTACGTTTTTCCCTCGACGGTAAATTCATTAACCGGCGAGTGTTCGAGCCCGCGAAGACTCGATAATATTGGCAGCATCGCTGAAAAACGACAGCAATTTATCCCGAGGCTTTCTCCCAAGATTTCTTCTCTCGATCCGAAGAAAGTCACGGGAGTAAAGACAACTACGGATTTTCTCCGGGAGGGGGTAGGGGGAATTCCACGAAGCAGCGATAAATTCGTTTCCAACTGGAAGTCGGTAATTGCCCGTTTTAACGAGGAGTCAGAAAAAGGCTCGGCGTATCCGCGACACGGGCGTCGATCAAAACATCAAGCCTAACTAGTCGCGGTGTGCGGATAATCGGGTTCGGTTCGTCAGTTTCAATGGGAGTTAATAAACCCCGCGTCGTCGATAGTTTTCTCGAGTCGGAACAGTCCGACCGGTTCTTTTCCGTGAGTAATTGTAACGCACACAACCGCGGTTTAACAGTTTATCGGGCGTTTCGCTGGTCTCTTCGGTAAACAGTAAGTGCAGTAAACAGTCGTGTGCATTGATCAAATTTCTTGTCGGGATCGGTAGTAGTTTCCGTCACCTAATGGAACCTACCTAACGGAAGCTATGTCTCCGGGTATCATTAGTCCGAATTCGGTCACGATTTTCTTACTCCGACCTGGGATATTTACAAAATACTGCGAACAGGAATTAAATCGTCACTTATCTCGTCGCCTATTTGATTTTGGCAAGCGGTACATGTTATTTTCTCATCTCGTGTGGTATCGATTCGGTCGACGATGTAAACAGCGACACCGTGGGACCACGATTCGAGCGGATAAGGCGAAGAACGCGCGCAATAATTACGTCCAGAGTTGGTAAATAAGAGAGTCTCGGAGTCCCCTGTAGTAAAGACGTTACGCAAAGATTTCGTAACGGCGGTTTTGTAACGTTGCGGTCCACGCTATCTCCTTATCACCCACGAGCGCTTCGGGCCTCCAAGCAAGCAAAACAACCGGCTCTTCCCCTCGTGGCGACGTAATTGATTCATTCGGTCGCGATAACCGTGCGTTCCGTCCAATTATGAATTATTCCGCGATAGGGCCTATCGTAATCCCTCGGACGAGCATTCTATCCAGTCATCGTCTTCGCGTGTTCTCAATGAAGGAAAAGAGCACGTCCGAAAGCTCCGAAAGCAGCGTCGAAACTGCTTTTACCTGCCGAAATAGAAAGTTCTAGTCCTCGACCATCTTTCCATTCGATTCTCAATTATTCTTAGAGGGAAGATGTAGACAATATCGAAAGTTGTGTAGGAGCCCGTCAAATAGCAATTTAATTCGATCGGGCATTGAAATTTTTATTTGTACACCGTGAAATACTTTTTCTGTAATACAAATTTCAATTTTTATCCGACGAGCAACGAAGGAAATGTCGATAAGAATAGGATTAGATAAGAATTTCGCCCATCGTCGATCGGAAGCAACGCGAAAGAATCTATTTATTTTAACGAATGAAATCACAGCTCCGTTTGATGCCTTCGTAACAGAAAATCAGTTCCTGTATACTTTGTCGAGGTAATTGCACAGAATCTACGCATGTTGGTTTTCAAGGATCGTTTAATAGCCCAGGTTCGGTCAGTTATCGTTTGGAGTGAATATCAATTAATCGGAGGACGTATAAATAACCAAGAAACACCACTGCGCGTTTACGAGCGTACTTCTTTCAATGAAAATGGTACTCCGGTCTAACAAAAGGACTGGTCGTGACGTTCTCTACTCCATTGCCCTGATGTAAGATACAAGTTTCATATCGCGAATACTTTTTAGACAAACACGAAAACATTGAGCTTTATCAGTTTGCCGAATGTTCCTAATCTGGCGATCAATTATCTAGTTATTTCGCCTCGTACAGTTTTATAGATAAGTGATGGCAGCATTCCGATATTAAGCAGCAATTTATTTTCAATAATTTATAGTACTCGAAAATTGTTGCACGATCGTACCTTCCATCTTAAACTGTGTCTGAGCAACGCTCGACTAGAATAATACCGATGGTACAACTCGAGAATAATATTTTTAACGCGACATTTGTACGTGCAAGAAATGAAGTTTCACTCGCGTTAAGGACTACGTGCTTCAAAATGAAATGCATCAAATATTCGACTCGCCGAGTCCCCTGATGTAGTACCCTAACGAGTAAAGATAAATCCGATGTTAAAATACGAAACTTCCGTTTCAAAAGAACGTCCAACGAGCACAACGTATAAAATCGTCCAAGCGTATATCGGTCGATAGTGCACATGTTGAAATAGTTTCTAGCGGATGGATCGTTTCCAAGCTGCGTTGATCTATCAAATTATATTTGGCGTCGCGATAAGCGGTAATGAAAAGAGCGATTAGGAGATAACGCGAGAATAGTGACGAGAAGTCGATGCTGGCTAGACGTTTCAGACAAAAAAAAAAAAAAAAACATGTTCGTAATTGACGATTATGACTCTGTTGTTGACTCCCGTCGTGGTTCGTTTAATTGGAGACATAATCGATAGGTTTGTTTGCACAGAGCGTACATCTTGCTACCGATGCGCACTCGGCGCTGAATCAAAGCTAATTAGTAATTACTCGTCAACTATTTATCCGTGCTCGCGTACCGCGAAAATGACAGTGTTCCGTAAGTTTGCATCTAGACTTCATTTCTTTTATCGCGAGCATAAAACGCGCGTCAAGGTGCACGTCTGTATAGGAGGCAACGCTTGATTCGTAATACTTCAAATTTAACGGCTTGTCGCTTCGTTCATCTGAGACTGCCAGTTACTTTTATCTGCGATCGCGACTCGATCATAAATCATTAATCGTAACTTGTAACGGCGCAGGTATTACCGATGGAATTCTGTTGCAGAGGATGCTCGTTTGTTTATTGACCGTAACTCGCAGTGTTTAGTGCACGCGCTGAATGAATTATTGCAGCGTTTTTCAAAAGTACTCGCGCATTCGTCGTACTCCGACTCGCTGTTAGTCTTACAAACGGCATGACTTATCGTCCCAACGTTTCCCAGCTCCCTTTTTTTTTGGTCGACTTTCAGACTCCTCGCGTGTGACGAATGAAGTGTCGCTGAATATCGTGCGACAGGTATTTCGAAACGAGCGTTTAGGGGAAAAACTAGGCGTGGCCGCGGGACTAGCGTAAATTTTGCAAAAACGTAGAACGTGCGATTCGAGCGGAGCCAATTTGTTTTATATTCGTAAAGAAATTTTTGTTCGCAATTTCCCGTTGCGATAGGTGTCGAATTTCCGATAAAAGACATCGATAACTCGACGTCGAGTGTCGTCCGTGCGAGATTTTCTCCCTTTTTCAGCATCCTTCGCACGGAATCCGTGATTTCAGCGTTACGCAACCGATAATCTCCATCGCGGGTAATTTACCACACCGAATCTCAGCCGTGTTATTACCGGTTCGCTCGCGTCAATTATCCATCGAGTGTCGTCCGCTGGCGTGCAATCAAGCCGGATCGAATTTTCGTCTTAATTATATTTCGTCCGTGATGCGCGGTCCTTTCCCGCGTCCGCGCGAGAATTAATAGCTCAATCGAGAAACCAGGGACCTCTTCGTGTTGGTTCGTCGATGCCTGGTTTTAGGAAACAAAGTTTTACAGTATCCACTGCGATCTCGATATTACGCACTCGTTAGATCCATGTAGGAATATTTTAAATAGGTAATTCCCTTTGCACTCGAGGCCTTTTCCGCTGGTATCTTTCAGCAACTCGAGATGTTTGCTTAGCATTCGATTGTCACGAAGAGCTTTAGATTGCTTAGCTTTAGATTGACTTCGACTTTTAGATCTCAAAATAAA